CCTTTAAGAAATCCTACTCTTACTCGGACGAAACCGGGCTTTAACTGAACAACAAGCCAGGAAATGTTGTTGCCATTAAAGGTTCCAAAAATGTAACTTCATTTACGTCAGGGGAAAAGGTGAAACTATTTCTGTTCTACCTTGTGCTAGCGCTGAAGATAAATTTCTTCTCTCATACTGCATAATGAAGGGCAAGAACTTGAAAGTTGAGTTCATGGACGGGATGCCTCCTGGCTCAGTTGTTAAAATTTCAGAAAAATCTTCTTGTCACTAGTGAAATTTTTCTGCACATGGACCAAAGCTGCAGGTGTACAAAACGGTGTGAGTGGATTTCAAGCTTGTGGCATAGTCCCCTCAAGATATGACTGTAATACAAGCCTACTCCTACCTAGAGCCCGACTCTGCCAGTGTAGTATCCATTGTCCAAGTATTGGCGTACATTCTCGCTAGTGCACCAACTGACGAGGTTGATCCTGTTACCTCCAATGCAGAACTTATCGGCCAATACGTCAGTGCTGTAACTAGTATTCCAACAAGTGATACTGTTGATTCTTGTGTCTCCTGTACAGTACCAAGAACTCAATTTGATCTTGCTAGTATCCCCAGTACTTTTAGTAGCCTTACACCGTCAACAATGGTTTCTTCTAAACCTCTAGAACATATATCACCCGTCCCTTCTCTCACGCAGAAAGTAACCGTTAAGAGATGTTTGACGACTGATTAAAAAGTATTAAATTCAGCTCAGAATATTGCAGTTGTAAAAAAGAAGGTAGTTAAGCAAGCAATGAAAGATAAACAAAAAAAGAAAAAGAAACAAGATCAACTAAAAAACAATTGAATCAAGAAAGAAGTTTCTCAAGCCAAAAAAGGAACCATCTGGCAAAGTGACACAGTTTGAAAGTTCAGGCTCAGGCAGCTATGATTCCGCAGATTTAGTCCAAGATGACGGTATGTCGGTAGAATAATGGGATAAAGATGAGTGTGTGGGATGTGGAAAGGCTTACAATGAAACTACAAAAAAAAGAAGACTGGGTGGAGTGTGTACAGTGTTTTCGGTGTTTTCATGAAAGTTGATCTAGATTTAAAGTAAAATATGACTTTTGCGGTAACAGGCAAATAATTTCACAAAGAGGAAGTTTCCCATTATTAGGAAGATTCTGATCAAGCAAGTAAAGTAATAGACTTGTTTGGTTTTTTATTTGGTTATTTTAATATTTAGTATTATGTAAAATATACATATGTTTTACTTTATACTAGGTTTGTAGTCATTGATCCCACTTTTTACCCCTGGTCCATCTCTCCCAAGCTACTGGTCCATCTTATCCAGACACGTCCGGCTGACAAGGATCGTGCAAAGTTTTGGAAAAAATGCAATGTAGCCTTTAATAATATTATTCAATTAGAAAGTAAACTCTTAAGAGTATAAAACTAAATTCTTTACCAAACACTTAAATAATAATGTTAATAAGTTGACATATATAATTTTAGTGAGCGTCCATAGAAATGTGGTCCAACTCTCCCAGACTTACACTATGTTTGGCATAACTACCTGGTGTGCACTATGCTAATTTATTATCTTATTTGCAAGTTATATAGGGATATTTGTGTCATTAGAAATTTGTGTACTGGAATCAAACTGCTATCGTAAAAATTGGAGATAACTACACCAATAAAATATTTATGTAAAGAGGAATCAGACTCAGTGTACTCGGATTAGTTATTTAAAAAAGCACTTGAGAGATAACCATATGGAATACAAATCAACGGGGTAGTTCTCAAATAATATTGAATGTCTTCAAATTCTGCTTGATCGTATTTACGAGGTAGGACAGGAAATGAGCATTAAAATAAACTTAAACAAAACCAAATTTTTAGTGTTTAGTCGTGATCCAGAACCCGCTGCAAGCTTCAATTAAACGCAGTAGAAGTTGAAAAAGTTCACAAAATGACATATTTAAGAACTGTGATAATGAACCAACTAGATCCAGACATAGAAATAAAACGTAGAATAGCAATGACTTATATTATTTTGCAATATTATTATTTTACAATATTTTGTAACTACATTTATTTTTAAGGCTTTTATCCAAATATTTTGGTGGCTCATGCATGTCAACCTAGTGTTTTTTTAAACCTGATGATGGAATTGTCATTTCGAAAACGTTCGTGTGTTTTTTGATGTAGCCCTTTTAAGGTTTTTTGAATATACCAAATTACAAAGATTAACCTCTTTTTTTTTAAACTATTTTTATGAAAAAGAAGTCATTTCTTTGCAAAAACCATCTTAGTTTAGAACTAAGGCAAATAATGGTTGAGTGCTATGTTTGGTCCGTACTTTTGTATAGTGCAGAAGTGTGGACGCATGAACAAAATTGAAGCATTGAAAATGTGGGTTCATAGACGAGTGCTGAAGATACCTTGGAAAGCAAGGAAAACTAATGAAAAAGGACTAAGGAGCGGCAACAAAGATAGAGAACTGCTAAAGACTGTTAAACATCGCAAAATGTCTTACCTGGGACATATAGTAACGAGAAGTCGATATAAAATATTACAACTGATCCCTAAAGGCAAAATAGAGGGCCGTAGAGGTGTAGGAAGAAAACAAGTTTCTTGGTTAAAAAACATTCGTGAATGGATTCAGATACCAAATACAGGACAATTATTCCATATTGCAGAAGATCGGGAAGCCTTCACAATGGTGATCGCTAACGTCGGATAATTCTGATATTGCACGCAAAGAAGAAGATTTGCGTGTAAATTATAGTTATAAAGAAATCAGTTTACAAATTTGGTACCATGAATGTCAATCCAGTGTTCGGATACTTACCATCCACCATTAAATAATTGCAACAAATATCTTACTAACCCATATACAGTCGATGCTTATATCAAAAATGTTCAGCACACACTAGTTCACATTATTCTCACCGAGATAAAAAAAAATAATATAGCTCTAACAAATACGATGTTTACTATACCAGCTCAACAGCGGCAACCCTAACATGTGTTGATATTCACTTGGTTGTCTCTGAAAAGTGTTTGTCGCTTGCGATCAAATGAGACTCAAAAACCATACTATTGTGACATTGCTATATTTCGTCAGTATGTCGAGTACATCCCAGCATTCCCACATTATCTTAGATTCCACCTTAAAGTCAATAGGTGTATAACTGCTTTGCTATGTTTGCATATATTGGTCGGCTTTAATTCAACAGCTTCATGGTAATTTTTCTTGCTTAGTATAAGAGTACAAAATTCTCTGCCTGAAAAACAGAGTTATGTTCAACTGGAATTTAAATTTTAAAATTTCCACTATGACTAAATATTGCTACGATTAACTCTTCTGCAAACTTAAACTTGATTGTTTACCAGATATCACCCTGCGGTCTAGAGAATATGTCATACATCTGCTGAATTCTGGATACCATATGATGAGAAGTCAGCATTAATTCTGTATCTCTGTAATTGTTCCGCCTCAGGTTTCCTCATAGTATATAATATTATATGTGCAAAGAAGAGAGGTTTATTCGGGCACCAGGAAGTATTTACACCTTCCTTAGTTTAAGCATGGCACTTTTTTACTGCACCATTGGCCACCATACCCCTGTTTTATGTAAAATTTTGTTGGCTTCACCATTTTGTCATTAACTTATTATTACATGTCTGGTTTACTCACAGGGTCTCTGTACTATACGAAGTTTAATGGAACTGCAGATGTTGATACCGACTCCTGATAGGAGCTTCATCAACTACTCATTCCAGTTTATTGATGATAGGGTCTGCTTGTGAGATTTCTTTGGTTTTGTTTAGCAACTTTTTGTTACAAAAGTATCATATAATTTCAAATGTTATTCTTTATAGGAGATATGTCATCATCACGTAGCGCTACAACCCTGGGTGGGTCTTGGCTGACTGTACAACTTTTTTCCAATTTGTTCGGTCTTCCATCAACCTAGGGTCAAATGAAATGTTTATTTTCCGGAGATCTGCTTGGATGTTATCTCTCCATCGCATTTTGGGACGTCTGAGTGGTCTGTTGCATGTGGGAATCTCCTCCCATACCAGTTTTACAAGTCTTTTGTTATGCAGTCTGTGCACGTGGCCTGCCTATTTTAGTCGCTGTGATTTAATTTCTTGGACAATATCGGCGTCGTTGTAGAGTGCTTTTAATTTGATATTAGTTCTGATCTTATACTGGTTTGTGGTGATGTCATATTGAGGTCCGAAAATTTTTCTAAGTATTTTTCGTTTAAAGTGTCTGAGCTTTTCTTCGTTTGCTTTGTTCATGATCCATGTTTCGCATCTGTATGTTATTACAGGTCTGACCATGGATTTATAGATTTTGATCTTTGAACTTCTTGTGAGATTTTTGGATTTTGTGAGCTTATCCAGTGCAAATAGACAGCGGTTTGCAGAATGGATTCTATCTTTTATTTCTTCAGTGACATCATTGTCAGCTGTGATTACGGCCGCCAGATACTTAAAACGTTGTACTCTTTCGAAATTGAAGGTGTTGACCGTCACATTTTATCCTATTCAGTCTCTTCGTGTCGTTCTATTTATACACATATATTTTGTCTTCTCTTCGTTAATCTTCAGCCCTACTTCACTTGTTGCTCCTTCCACCTTGTTGAAAATGTCTTTCGTGGATAGTATGGAGTCTCCAACGAGATCTATGTCATCTGCATATGCGAGTGACAGCTTGGGACCTTAAACCGATAGCAATTCTGTTTTTATTTCGGCCGACCTCATGGCTTTCTCTAATACAAGGTTAAAAAGTAGTGGAGATAACGCATCACTGCCAGATAGTTTATTATTTACACGTACTTTAGATATTCCACCCTCCATACAGACTTTGGTCATCCGAATGAGTTTCTTTGGTATTGAGAACTCCCCCACGGCATTCCATACTTGGCTTCTTTCTACGCTATTATATGCCTGTCGAAAGTCTATGAAAAGATTATAGGAGATATGTGGATGGTTTAAAAATATAGCAATATACAAGGGATTATTTATTTTCAAAATTAACAAATTTTATTGCAGTTTGGACAAAGTAAATAGTAAAATTTAAATAGAACAATTAACATTGAAATATAACTACAACAGCTTATTCTTTTTAATCTGGTAACAATATTAATTTGTCTTATTATACAAATCGTTCCAAGATTACCCAAGATGATACATTACATCTAAATAGATTATTGTTCTAAGACGTTAATAGAAGCAAAACTACTGCAAAATAGCAGTGATTGATTTCTTTGTCAATGCCTTCAACTTTGACCGGTTGAATCTCAGGAACCATTGCTTGTATTTTAACTTTATTTCTTTTGGAAAAAATGTCTTACCCTTTTTTTGTCAATGAATTTTTTTCCGAATTTCATTTAAGTTGTTAGTTTATATTATATTTGTTTATAAGCATAACATTTGTTTATAATTTTAAAGCATTCCTTAGACCGTCCACATAATCCGACTTTAATTCCACAAAATAAGTAAGACGGGCTAAGTCTTCTCTTCTTCATGTGCCTTGTCCGTTCCGATCGTTGGCAATCAACATGGCTATTCTGACTTTGTTTACGGCAGATCTGAATAGTTCAGCAGATAACAATCCGAACCATCGCCGCAAGTTTTGGAGCCACGAGCGCCTTCTCCTCCCTGGACCCCTTCTGCTGTCTATTTTCCCTTGAACGATCAGCTGTAGTACTCTATATTTATTATGTCTCATAACGTGATCCAAGTATTCCAACTTTCTTTTTTTTTAATACTTATTCCTACCTCTCTCTCTTTACCTATCCGGCGTAGTACCTCTTCGTTGGTCACGTGCTCAGTCCAGGATATACGTAATATACGTCGGCGTCGGTAAGCCCACATTTCGAAGACCTCTACTTTTTTCATCAATTTTTTGGTCATTGTCCACGACTTCATTCCATATAACAAAACCGGGAATATATAACATTTCAGAAGTTGAATTTTGAGAGGTAGGGTGAGGCTTTTAGAGGTGAAAATTTGCTTCATGCTAGTGAACGATGCTCTTGCCTTTTCTACTCTTATACGTATTTCCTTCGCCTGACCCCAATTTGAGTTAACTATGGGCTAAGTACGTTTTATAATTAAAAAATTGGCAAACTTGTATATGGTCTATTTTTTCTTGTGCAAGATTTATAAAGTTTTAAAAAAAAAATTAGATTGTAAAATTATTATGCAAAATCTGTTAATCCGATTTCAACTATGTTATGAAGATATTCTAGACGAATTGAACCGGTAAACACCAGAGTGGTGTAAGTTAAACTATCCGAATCGCTCATTCTGTTTAGTTTGAGAGTGAAGTAAGTCAATTGTTCAATCACTGCCCACTGGGAGCAGCACATCATTGTCATCCTACACTAAACTGCCAATGTGTTTAGAATGAGAGTGCTGTAAGTCAGATGATGAATTTGTTTAAATGCAAGGTTATATTATTGCAAAGTGATCAGTGAGTGTTATTTTGTTTTATGTATTATTACATATTATTGGTGGTATATAAACAAACATATTTAATATTCTGTCACAGTAGCTTGTTTTTAAATTGAAGAAAATCTTGTTTTATAACTGAAATGTGAGAAATGTATCCTTGTTGACATTTTCAGGTTAGGCTTGTATTTAGAACAAACTTTTACAACAATAACGTTATTTTAAGTGAAAATGCATTTTTATAAAAAAAAGAAATTTAAATAACCTAAAACATGAGTAGGCCTATACTGAAAACCTATAACAGGTTACATTTATCAAGTGAATCAGACTCTATTAAATCAACCGATGATGTTGATAGGGATCCAGATTATAATGAAGATAACAGGCTTACTCCTTTTTAAAAAAGACTCAACCTTGTAGGAAGAAGAAACAGATTAATGTCTACTAAGTCCGAATCAGATAATCAGTCAGATGAAAATGGTGAGTTTATCGGTCCCAAGCTAAAGTAAAACTAGAAAAAGGCTCAGGAAGCCAAAATGGCATAAGAAAAGCATTACTAAGAAACAGAGGAATTCTGGTGAGAGATATGTGAATGTTAATGGCCAAGAAGTAGCAAATAAAACATTTTCAGACACCCCATGTCACTGTAAAATGGCGTATCATGAGAAAATAGTCTTTCTGGGAACTTGGGGATTTTAAGCGGAAAAATACTTATATTTGCGGACAGATTCAAAGAACTCAAATCAAGCCAGGTCCCGTAAAAAGGGTGGATTTTTTAAATACCATTTAAAAACAAATCAAGGTACCTATATCAGTTGTTGCAGTGTGCAAAAAGTATTTTCTCGCTACTTTTTGCATGTCAGTTGGTCGTGTTAGACGAGCTCTAAAAAAACTATGTAAAGTTAAATTACCTGGTGAAGATTTTAGAGGTATAGAAGGATGCCCAGCAAGAAAAATCCCTGATGACGATATAGAATATGTCTGCAAACATATCAAGTCATTTCCCTCTTACCAGAGTCACTATATCAGGAAGAAAAATAAACACCGAAGGTACCTTAGTGATAATTGAAGTATGGGAAAAATATATTCATTGTATGAGAAAAAGTGTCAGGAAGAGCAGAAATCACCGGTTAAGGAGAATTTTATTGATATGCTTTCAACACTAAATTTAACCTTCACTTCAACATTCCAAAAAAAGACACGTGCAAAAAATGTAACATATTCAAAATTAAAATAAGCAATCCTGAATTGATTAGGTATGAATTATCTCAACTTAATACTGACCATGAACTCCATTTACGGAAAGCTGAGCTAGCAAGGGAATGTATGACTACTGATGCGAAAAACGCGAAAAGAAACCAGGACAGTTATGTATGTAGTATTGACCTACAAAAAGCTTTGCTGTATCCAGTGTTATCTGTTTCAGATGCCTATTAGAAGCGAACTATGTACTGCTATAACTTTGGAGTGCATGACTTCGACACAGAAGCTGGCTTATATTTTATTTCTGGGATAAAACTATCACTTCCAGAGGCTCTCAAGAAGTTTCATCCTGTATTATAAAGCATCTTAAACTAAATAATCCAAACAAGAAACATGTTATAATTCACAGCGATACTTGTACTGATCAAAACCAAAACATTAAAATGGCTTTAGCACGAACAAGATTTCTATAAAGCGATGCAACAGACAGTAATCGATCAGAAGTTTTCAGTTTCTGGACATTCATTCCTACTGAATGATTCGAATTTTGGTTGTGCAGAACTAGCTGCAAACGGAAAGGCAATCTATCTACCAAGTAACTGGAAAAAAATCATGACTACCTGCCGGAGAAAAGAGAAATTTATTGTTTGTGAGGTAAGCAGTGATGAATTATTTTTAACAAGCCCAATTAAAAGAAACATTACAAATAGGAAAAAAAATTCAAGATATGGTACAGTTCGACATCATAGATATCACTCCAACAGGACAAAAGGGAAAGCAAGTACAGTTGAAAAATGTTGTCATGAAAAAACTCAAGAATGAGACCTGTAAGCAAGCAGAAGAAACAGGATATGATTGACCTCCTACAGTTCTTTCCTCCAGTCCATCATGGGTTTTTTCAAAACATAGCAACTGCTGCAAATAATGAAGTAGAGGACAAGATTAGCCCCCTTCCATATGTTGAACCTCAAAGCGATGAGGAAGATGAAACTGTGGACTAAAAAAGACTCCAGTCGATCGTAGAATTGATTACTTTTTAAGTAAAGATAATTTAGAAATAGTTAATCTGTTGACAAAGTGTAAAATTTTAATCTTCAACAAGGTAAGTCAGTTATTTTATTTAATCTCTATTGGTGTTTAGAATGGTAGTAGTGTAAGTCATTTAAGCCCTTTTTATTTTTTTTATGATAAACAATAGGTATATAAAATCTATATTAATAAAAAAAAAGTAACAATTTGTGACTACAAAAAGACAATTTTTTTGCTAACAAACACTTAAAAATCTCAAATTGATTAAAAACTGACTTACACCACTCTGATTCTCATCAGCTCAATTATACAGGTCCTTGCTGTAATTTAATGGGTTAAAAAACAGTGAATAAGAAAAGGCTTGTTTATCCCCCTCTTTTTTGTATTTAATGCTATTTGGCAGTACCGGTAATAAATTAAAACATTTTTAACTAGCTGTATCTTATAGTAAATTTGACTGTCGCTATTATATTTCTTGACAACTTTGCTCCAAAATCAATTGTTTTAAGAAGAGGAAGGATAAGTTAATTATTATTGAAGTTATTACATAACTATTTCTACAAAATCCGAATGCCACCCCTCACATCCACCTTTAAAAGAGCCGCCCTGGTCTATAAAAAAAATTATAAATATATTATTTAGGTTTATTGTATCTAACTATAATTTAGTAGAATCATCATATGTATTAGGCTCTAACAGTAACATTTGTTAATAATGGCTTGATTCGGCGGAATTCCTTTGACACCCAATCCTGAGAGGGCAAATACACATCCAGCATCAGGTTCATCCTTCAACTGTTTTTCATCTAGATGAGCTTGAGAAGTAGTTACATACAATATATCAAAATTAGGACCACCCCAAATTACAGACGTGACATAAGAGGCAGGTATTCTAATGTTCCTTAATACTCTTCCATATTTTGATTCTACTTGGATAACCTTGAAAATATAAGGTAAACTAATATAAAAATATAATAAGTAGGTGTGTTAGAGTAGTAATCAATACTGCAACATCATCAGTACTATATATGAAAATACAACAGTCATAACTAAAATAAATGTTAGAGGAGCAGTAAGAAAAGACGCCACTATGTCTTCAAAATTGTTCTTAAAAGTATTATAATATGCTTTAAAAATATATTTTTGAATAATGGCTTGATTAGGTGGAACTCCTTTAACACCCAATCCTGAGAGGGCAAATACACTTCCAGCATCAGGTTCATCTTTCAACTGTTTTTCATCGAGATGCGCTTGAGACGTCGTTACATACAATATATCAAAATTGGGACCACCCCAGGTTACAGACGTAACATAAGAAGCAGGTATTCTAATGTTCCTTAATATTCTTCCATATCTAGATTCTACTTGGATAACCTTGAAAATAAAAATATTAAATATATTTTGAAGGAAAAGCCGAATAACGGATGTTCTTAAAACAGTGACAGTCGTATAACGGGACTGTCCCGGTAAGCTAGACCCATAAAGTAAAGTTCGTGTAACCTTCTGGCTAAGGTCTAGTGTTAGGGTTTTTAGGCCGCGCAAGCGCCCCTATCATGACTTAAAGACGACTTTCATAGCCGGGACTGACAGCTTTACGTGCCTTCCGAAGCACGGTGACAGCTCAGTTAAATTAGAAATTGAAAATTTTGTCGTGCCGGGATAGACCCATAAACTGTTGTTATGTATTTAGACTGTCTTAAGCAGCAAGTCCTGGAAATAGGGAACAACCATATCTAGGAGAAGCTATGTAAATGTAAAGGAGTAAGGAGAAGATGAGAGCAGGGTTTACAAAAGTCGTAAGTTCATTGTGTTAAATTTTTCAACTTAAATTGTTCTCTCAAATGTCAAAACACAAGAGGCATAACGTAAGTACAAGACAATTAGAAACCAAACACACGCACTTGGAAGAAAAATAAAAAATGATAATTGGGAACGCTTTTCAAAAGAAATGGAACATGATTTTTTCGGTCTGAAAAAGGAAATGTGGCGCTTGATAAAAGGTAAAAGAACGGATGTAAAGGACCTAATAGAACCAAAACTCATAGAAACGGATCCGTGAATTGACTACCTAAAAAAGCTTTATTCAGAGGAAGAACAAACGATGCTAGAATCCGAAACACCAGAAATTACCACAAATGAAGAACTTAATATAAAAAGTTCGGAAAATACTTGAAAATCTGAATGTCGCCCAGAATACTGAATTGTGATTGGTCAAATGGCAACAGTAATTGCAGCCAATCATAATTCTGGATTCTCATTTTCGCTATTATCATTGGTGGAAATGCACCAGAGTTGCAACCAATGATAATACAGAAAATTGGGCATTGGCCGTCGTGTTTGGAGGCAATCGGTACCAGGCAGTGACGGTTACGATTGACCTACTTTTTTCTCTATAAGAGAAATGCACGCCGGCCAGGAAATCAGAGTGGGTCAGGATATGTCCGCCACTCCAGCCTCCTAAGGCATGTCGAGCTCCTCAGATTGATTAAGTTCTCTGAGACTCAAAACCCGGAACCTAACGTTTCACATCTTTAGCCAACTATAACCCTTAGGCGAAGTTCCAGCGTGGACTCTGTCGGTTTCCGAGCGGGAACCAGCGGCCATTTTTGGACGATTTATTTGTGCAATTTCGACTTACTCGAAATTTGCTAATAAGCGTCCAGAAGCGTCGCGAATTGAAGTCGCATTTAATCTGTGTTTTCGACTTAGTCGAATTCTGAGAAAATACGAACTTTGAAGCCGAGTGAAACTTAGTCTTTTTCAAGATTTTAGTTTTGCACGGAGTTTTCAAGTTGTGTAAGAAATTGTTCTCTTCCAGGGACAATTCGCTAAATCCTTACCTACAGGACTTAGTCTTTCGAACAAGGAATTGTTTAAATAAAGAGAATACTTGTGTTTTACTGCCTTATATTTTCACCCGCATAAATCCTCGTCGGACTCTGCATTCAGAGCCGCCGATCTTTATATAGGAAATATATTGTTTCTCTTTCAGGTACACAGTAATAAATTGGTAAGAGGTTTTAACATTTCTTATGAGAGATTTACATGTAATGTAAACTGCAAAACTTGGCCAAGGAATTGCATCTTTTATGTTGAATATATTTACATGCATTTTGGTACACTATTAAAACTTTGATTTTAATTTGAACTTTGTCGATATTTTATGAATGTGCTTTTATTTCTGCTTTCAGGGATTTTTAAACTTGTAATATTTTACTGTTTTATTTTTATACGTATCGACTTAGAAAAATCACAAAAATAAATTTTCGTTATTTGTTTATATCTTTTTCCACAGTGTACTTACACCTACTTTTTATTGCTGATTTGGCCGAATGGCACTATATTGAAGGAATTCCAGCTGGTTTCAGGTCCTTTGTAACACTTTTTCCTACCCTTAAATTTTGACAGCTTGGATTTCCCTATAGTTACTAATTTGAACTTGACCTATAAATTGCGTGTTAAATATCGATTTTCTCTTTCAGATTCTTAGGCTTAGAACTAACGAGTGGTTGACCTCCAGTTCATTGACCTGGAGCCAATCACTTACTTGTCTTACACCGTGTCTATGGCCACCGACCGAACCTACGCTCTTCGGTCATCCACCAATATGAATAATAGAGCGGTTAATCCTGTAAATCCAGACGTCCCTTCTCCCGAGGGCACTGAGGATCGTACAGATTACCGACATGAAGAACAGAAAAGCATTAGGTAAAGACGGAATACCGAACGTATTACTGAAGTATTGTGGAGCAGCAATGACAGAACAATTAACAACGTTAATGAATAAAATTATAAAACACAATAAAATACCGGAAGAATAGAGAACGAGAAAACTAATTCTACTATTCAAAAAGGAAAAACAGCTGAAAAACTACAGAGGTATAAACTTGTCAAATACTATGCTAAAACATACAACTAAAATTTTACAAGTGCTAATAAACAACAGAATCAGTTAATAAATTTAGCAGGTGAACAACAGGGTTTTCGTAGCGAAAGGTCGTATATAGATGCAATATTTGATGGATTCGACCGTTACTTGATGGAAATTTATTTTATGTAACAATAAAACACTGAAAACTTCACAAAATTTATTTTAACTATTATCACTACAGCTGTTTCGGCTGATTGCCTTTAACAAGTGATCTATTTTTGGCATGCGTTTACAATTTATAGTCTCTAATGAAATAGGTTGGGGAGGGGAGAACTGTTTGTCTCAAGTGGGTCATACAGAATTATATCTGTGTTTTTTAATTTTTTGATTTTCATAGATTCTAACAAAGATAGCTTAAGGCCTTTATTTTGAATGTGAAGAATTTTAAATTTGTCATTGAAAGAATGATTATGATCTAGAAGGTGAAGTGCGTATGTCAAATCTGTTTTTCTATTATTGAAAGCCCTTTTATGTTCTGCTATTCGTTTATTAAAGTTTCTACCAGTTTGACCGATGTAAGTTGTTGGGCAGTCGCCACAACGACTGTACGACTGGTGTGTACAAACTTCAATGATTACATTTTCAGCAAAAAAGTTTTTAACCGACGTGTACCGTCCAGATAAAAACTATTGGTAAAATAATGAAGCAATATAATATGTTTACAGCGATCTCTAATGGGGATAAATGGAGAAAAGTCGATAACGATTAAAGTAAACTGTAAATTTCGACGATGCTATCGGACGATATTAGTACTATATGAGGTATTAGGACCCATGTTAATGCTATTTCTATTTTTTATTATTTAAACAGTTACTTACTTCATGACCTCCAAATAAAGCAATCCACAGATTGTCATCTTCATCAATGGTCATTCCATCAGGTATACCTGCGTATCCGTGTTCTTTAATGTTTATAACTATCTTTTTGTTAGCTAAGTAAAAGAATCATTAGGTTAAAAACAATTCAAAAATTGCAGATTATGATAAACTTATTGCAAGAATTAGGTGTGTTGCATATTTGCACCTATAAAATTAAATAGCTTTCTAAATGAAACAATTTTTAAATATTAGTTAAAAAAAAATAAAATTCATGTCAAAATTTTCTCATAAAATATTCACTTATTGTATTGTTATGCTCGTGTTTAATCGGCACAAAAAAGAATAAGTACAAACTGATTATTGCAAAAATAAGTCTGAAAAGGACAACCCCCAGAAAGTAAAGGGAGCGTAGTAGAGCCTGGAATAATAAACAATAAGTCAATTTTAGTATGATTAGTTTATACCAAGGGTCACCAAATGGCGGACCGCGGTCCGCATCCAAACCGTGACCTTGTTTTTTGCGGTCCATCGTTAAACTTAAAATATAGTAATAAAATTATAGTGTAAAATTATAATCAAATCTAAATATATAAATTACATTCTTAAAATGCACAGTACTAATACTATATAGAAATAGTTGTAAACTAAGCAATATACTTCGACTAAACGAGTTTCCAAAATTTCAGGTAGTACCTGTCTAAACATATCTTTTAGCAAATACAATAGGGAAGCTGTCAACACAAAATGTTGTGTAACTATTAAGTTACAGTTTTTTACTCAAACCCAATGGTGTATGGACCAGCGAAGCAGCAGACGTTTTTGACATTTTGATGATGATGATGTTGATGATGATGATGATGATGATGATGATGATGATGATGATGATGATGATGAATTTAATTGCCTATCTATTAGACTAAATATCTAACTTCATAAAGTTTTAAAATAAAATACTTACATATTTCCCCCGTCTTAGCATCATAGTCCCATTTTTCTATATCTTTTGTAGCACTGTCAATAAAGAAAAATTTCGTATTATCTTTAGACCAAGCTAATCCGTTACTTATACTGACATTAGGAATTTTTTCATGTTCTCTAAGATTATGATCAAACATATAAAGTGAGCCACCAAATTCAGGAACTGATAAATCAGTTTCTCTTTTTAAAGTGCCTAAAACATAAAGTTATTATCGTAAGCCAAGTTACGAAAATCTAAAGCAGATCCTCATTTTCGCATCCATTAGACACAAGGGTCGTATTTACATAATTATCCACTACGCCTGTAGCACAGCTGCAATCGTAAAGTACTTTGTACTTATTTAAAAATCATAATCACGTCACTGTTGATCTCTTTAGTTAGTCTACGTCTTTTAGTCTACGTAGTTAGATACGTCAATGTCAGTTGCCCAAAGAGATTGTTGAATTGTACATATTGTAAATATTTTAGCTTTAACCCTTAACCTTGGAAATTTCAAATAACAGAAGAACTAAAATTAAGGGGTATAGTTTCAAAGTGTACAATCTCCATATTTTAGAAAAAAATGAGTTTAAAAAAAAATTTTATTGGCATCGTTTTATAGTGTATTTTTATGTATTAGAGAGTAATAAAACAATAAATTATGTATGCAAATCCATAAACTGTTGATACGGGTGACTCAATGAAAAACAGATATTTGTCAACAAGTGTACAGAAGTATATAGGAAAACAATTTTAAATTGAGTATGACCACCAGGTATAAAGGTTGGAGCAGAATAGAATACAATACTTGTGAGGGTTACTAATCCCTAAATAAGGTTGCCAGTGTCGGAGTGATGGAGGTTAACAGGTACTAATGAATTTGCAAGAAATGTAAGATGTTTATTTTATTGGTTATATATAACCAATAAAAGTTTAATAAGTACCTACCTATTTGCAAAATAAAGTTTAATTCTTTAGATAAAATAAAACGTTTTATTTTATCTGAAGTGAGTGCATTCCACGAAGTAAGGGTTTCAACAATCAAACATTTAATTATTTAATTCCAGGAATCTACGACAGTAATTGACTAGATAATTACCTTCTAAACTTATTCCACAGAAAATGTGATAGTGGGTTTTTCCATTTTGTAGGAAGGTCCAAGTGGCGTATTCAAAATTCTTAACAGTTCACTAAAAGTAGGTACTTCAGTTGCAACAGGTCCTTTAACAGTTAATGAAAAAACATTAATATTTAATTGTTTTAATTCATTTACAGACAAACGTTTATGTGAAAGTGTTGATGAGACCGTTGAGTTAGTTAGCAGTACACTTGGTGTTGGGAAATTTACGATATACAGAGTTATTAAAGAAGAGAAATATGGTAGTTTTCAAATGCCATGTAATGCTCCAGGGAAACCAAAATTTCAAATGGAATATGACACATTGACTGCCCACAACCAAGTGCTTAAAAAAAGACTTGCAGAATTGGCTAAGTTCAAAAAATATTACGTACCATCCCGGATCTATAAGAAAGGAACTTTATTCGTTGTGTTCCCTTCATAAAGAAAAATTTTAAAAATACGAAATTGATGAAATTGCCAAAAATCGTGGAATGACAGTACTTAGATCCCCACCATATCATTGTGAATTAAACCCGATTGAACTGGTATGGGCACAGATAAAGAGTAAAGTTTCAAGAAAAAATACCACTTTTGAAATTCATGATGTTAAACAGTTGTGTTTGGAGGCCGTAAATAATGTAAAACCTGAAAACTGGGAAAAGGCAGTAAATCACACTATTAAAGAAGAGGAAAAAATGTGGAAGCTGGACAATATTACTGATAAAATGATCAAGCCAGTTATTATAAATCTTGGTTCTGAAAGTTCATCTTCTGAATCTGATTTGGATTTGTAACAAGTAGCTGTAAGTTTTATATTAATATTTTTATTCATCTATTTAACATACCTTAGCCGGTTTTAAAAACTCCTTTTTGTCTTTTGTAATTTTTAAAAATTAAAAAAAAAATGTGAATTTTTTACAACCCTTTTTAATGTAGGCCAGTCAGTTCTAATATAGTGTGTGATAAAAGAGGTTACTTTTGTTTACATACACATAACACTTTATAACACTGAAATAATTCATTTATTTTTTACAATTATTCAAAGTAATTTTTCAATTAATCTTGAGCACGCCCATGGAGTGGTCGGAGGTACCAGTTAAAATTATGCTAATTACTCTCTCGTTCATAAAAATAAACTATAGATGTCGCATTACTTTGAGTTTCTAGTCCTGAATCGAAACAATAAAAAACTCTTTTCAAAATAGTCATTCTCCAATAAATTTTGAGGTCAGAAAATTATACTTTAATTCAAAACGTACAATCTCCAATACCATTTAATTTTTAAACCGTACAATCTCCTATCCAATATTTAAAATCAAAGAGTAGGTACAATCTCCAATGGGTTTTTCTTGTTTATAGTGGCGAATATTTCAAAGCGTGCAATATCCTCTTCGGACTTGTCAACAAATCTCGCACTAAAAACGTTGTGTTTTTACGTTATATGTAGTGTTAGTTGCATGTGATTTGTAAAGCAGCACAGTTTGTTTATTAAAGTAGTATCATATTTTTTCGAATTCTTAAAATAATAAATCGTGTAATGGAGGTAAATGTTACTCCTGTAGCTAGTAATAAAGCACAAAAAATACAACGTATTACCACATCATGGAAAAGAATTCAGCAAAAAAATTGAGGTAAGTTGCATTTAAGGATTTTGTATATCTTTATATTAACATGGATTTTATTTTATGTATAGTCCACATTCGCTCTCAATTTATCCGAAATATGTTACACAAAAGTGGTGCTTTTCAATGTACGTTACTACAAATGAACGACATAATACGTTTCCACTCTAAATTTTATGACCCGAAGGAGAAAACATTTCAAGATAATTTTCTGTTGAAATATTGCAAAAAAGTTCCAGTACAGCGTTCTCTAAGAGAGTTTTCGGAATATGTAGTAGAGAGAATATTAGAGAATACACACATTTAAATCGTTTTCCAAAAGATTTTTAGCAATCTATTAGATTAAAGAAGTTATAAAGTCAAAATTTTAATTTTTTTTTGTATGAAAAATGTGGCAAACATAAGGTAAAAGTTAGATTAAAACTTACCTCCCCAAATTCTTCCCTGTATATCGGCTTTACCGTCATTAAACTGATTTTTTGGTTTATCCTTTTCTACAGTATGTATTTGTTTAAATTGTACTTTTCCCTTGTCTGGCCATTTTAATTCATACATATGTCTATCACCGCATACAACCCAAGTGTCTTTTTTATCTTTTATTGGTATTGCAAAACCTACAGTATCATGATTAGCTAAAACAAAAGACAATAATTTTATAGAAAAGTAATAAAAACAAATTTTAACTAAATATAAGTACCTAGATTGTTTTACTTTATTTCTTGTACCCAATTTCTTCTCCCCTGTTCTATTGTCCTTATCAAGAGAGATACTTCTTGTTTCTGGCACTTGATTACGAAATATTTGCACTAAAATCTGTTTTTTAATGTTAGTCGCGTTTAAGGACTTTATGCAGCTTAATAATTGTATTATTAATGTAAACCTACACTAAGTTGTTAAGAATTTTATAGTTATAAAGGCCATTTTAGACCATTGGATAATTCGATGTAAATATTAGGATTAAATTATTTTCTAATGCCCCTTTCTCCGATTCTTCTCAATCGTCGATGGTAAATAAATGGTTGAAATGAAGAGTAAAACGTATAGTTATATTGAGATATACTGATAATTACACTCTTGTTGTTGGTTAGGTAACTATCTATAATGGACTGCGCTCAAATGAGCTCACATCCCCAATTTATATGTGTTGTGTTGTAGTTTAAATCCAAATCATAACAGTAAAATTCAAACCGTCATGAAGATAATGAACTTTATACGTGCAAAATATTCTTTAAGGCATCGTCAATTCAAATCATTCCAAGAAGACGCTTATGCTTAGTTTGACGATTTTCTTAGTAATAACAACGTGAGATGGCTGAGCAAAGGCTTAGTGCTTGAAAGATTCTTTGCAATACTTGACAACGTAAAATAATTTCTGTCCACTATCGTTAATAAAAAAAATTGAGGTTTTCGAAACGTGGCTTTATCGTAGAATCCTGAAGGTATTCTATACCGACCACAATACTAACCAGGACGTTTTATTAAGAACGCAAAAAGGAAAAGAGTTGTTAACCACAATAAAAACAGCCAAAATTGAATATCTTGGTCACATAATGAAGAACAGTGAAAAATATGGGTTGCTGCAATTAATTCTTTAAGGAAAACTAGAAGGAAAACGAGTACCAGGAAGACGAAGAATTTCCTGGTTGAAAAATCTAAGTACGTGGTTCAACACAACTATCACAAATCTTCCGGAGCCACAATTTGCAAAATACATATTGCCATGATGGTCGCCAACATGCGAAACGGATAGGCACTACAGAAGAAGAAGATCGATAATAAAGCTGCAGATGATCATTTGGGGTTCCTCTTGAACACAGAAAACGTTGCAAATATCGAATTTTTGGCGGATATCAGACATTTAAACTTCTTGAATTTAAAACTACAATGCAAGGGAAAACTTGCTTGCGAACTTCTGTCGGATATTGGAGGTTTTTCTAAACAGATTGAACTGACGATTTTTTAAGGATAAAGGCACAACTTTTGCATTTTCATCTCCTTAAGTCTTTGTGTGATTGTTGAAAGTTCTTCAAGTGTTGAAACTTGATTTGAAATTTAAAAAACGATTTGCTGATTTCCACAAAATTTGAGAATTTGTTAAATTTTAGAGACTTCGATGAGCTTGTTTGTCATGTAGTAAGAATAGTGATTAAAAATTGTCGAAAAGACCAGTAGTACAATATAGGGTGCAAGACCAAAAGAATGAAATGGCAGCAGATGCGCAACATTTGCTAACCATGAAAACCTGGGAAAGATCAACGCGAGACTGGCAATGTTAAAAGTATAGTTTGGAGGAAGCCAAGGTTCTACTTGCATTAAAGAGAGAGAGAGAGAGAGAGAGAGAGAGAGAGAGAGGGAGATAGGGAGAGAGAAAACAGCTACCATAGAAAACTGTCGTTCCAGCATAGAATGGCCAGTGACAGTCGCCCAAGGTACCTTTTTTGTAGTTTTTGGATACTCTTGTTACGTTCAGAAAAAATATTGTATAATTCGCCAAGGACTTTTGCTGAAATGAGGAGATATGTTGTGGAATGCAACTTTTATATATCCCATTTTTTCTATTTACAACTTTTAACATCGTCTGTTTTGATATGCAATTCTTAGAAGGTACAGATTATAGTAAAAATCTGGATTTTGGTTTCGTCAATATAAATCTTTAAATTTCTTTTTTCGTGATTTATTATCGGATGTCGCTAAAGGGACAGTCTGTCCCTTTGACAGACACCCTGTCAAAGAGACAGATTTGTTTTTATCTTTAGAGCTTCTGTAACAGTTGCTCTGATGAATCCTGTTATAATATAATATACAGAGGCACTATGCGTAAATTCAAATCTTAACTGTCTTTCTTTTATTTCGATATACTCTTTATGAATAATAGAAACCAATTCTCCTAGGAAATTCAATTCAATTCTCAAATGAAAAGGAAGAAGAGAGAGTATCAGGAACAAATAATCAGGGATATAGAAGAAAAAAGAAAGAGCAAACAAGCGAGGCAGTTCTTTAAAGGAGTTTCAGATATCAAGACCGGGTACCAAGCAAGAACAGGAAACTTTCTTCAAAACGATAGTGGACAGCTTATCACTGATGATAAGGAAATCTTAAAAACCTGGAAGGAATACTTCTATCAACTATTGAATGACCAATCTAGCAGAAGTACATCAAACATAGAGGTACATACAGCTGAAATAGAAGACCAATACCCGACATACGAAGAAGTAATACAGGCAATTAAAAAACTCAAAAATAATAAGACACCAGGTAGCGATGGTATGCCCGCAGAGTGCTTAAAACATGGAAAAGAAGCGTTGTACAGTTCGATATACAAGCTAATTCAAGACATTTGGCAAGAAGAAACAATGCCAGATGAATGGAAAGAAGGGGTTATTGTACCAATACACAAAAAAGGAAACAAAAAGCAATGTATTAACTACAGGGGAATAACACTCCTAAACACCACCTACAAAATCCTTGCAAACATCCTACTAGAAAGAACCAAAACATACACAGAAGAAATCGTTGGAGATTATCAATGCGGATTTAGACCGGGCCGCTCTACAATTGACCAGATATTCACAATAAAACAGATAATGGAAAAATGCTGGGAGTTTGATCGTGAGCTTTATCAGATGTTCATAGATTTTAAACAAGCATTTGATAGAGTATGTAGGGACAGACTGTGGACAGCGATGCAGGAACTTGGCTTTCCAAAAAACTAGTCCGGTTGATACAGATGTGTATGGAACGGTCACGATGTAAGGTGAGAGTTGGACAACAATACTCGGAGACATTTGAAATAAACAATGGACTAAAACAGGGAGATGCACTTTCACAACTCTTCAACTTAGCTCTGGAGCACATAATCAGAAGTGCAAGAATCGAAAAACCGAATACAGTATTTCATCGAGAAGGACCAAAATTACTACTGGCATTTGCAGGCGATATAGATCTAATAGGAAACACGCGATTAAGGATGAAGGAGACTTTCGTAAGGTTTCAGAAGGAAGCAGAGAAGATGGGGCTCCAAATCAACGAAAACAAGACGAAATATATGTATATGAGCCGCAATAACCAAAGCGGAGACAGAATCGGTCAGAACATTACCATCGATGACTTTAACTTTGAGCGCGTTAGAGAATTCAAGTATCTTGGAACAACAATAACTGAAGACAATAACAGATCACAAGAAATAAAAAACAGGATTCAGGCCGGCAACAGATGTATTTTTGCCCTCCAAAACCTTATAAAATCAAAACAACTAACACGACGTACGAAGATACAGGTCTACAAAACAATCATACGACCCGTTGTGATGTATGGAAGCGAAACGTGGACGATAACAAAGGCAAATGAAGAGAGACTATGTGTTTGGGAAAGAAAAATCCTAAGGAAGATCTTTGGTCCGGTGCTTGATGAAGCATCAGGACAATATAGGATAAGAACTAATAAAGAGCTTGAAGAACTGTACCAGACGCCAACATCATAAAAGAAATAAAGTCCAGAAGACTCCAATGGGCAGGACACCTCAGAAGACATTCTGACGAACGAACAGTAAGACTGGTGTGGGAGGAAGTCCCAACTGGAAGGAGACCACGCGGACGCCCTCGTCTTCGGTGGCGAGATAATATAGCAGGAGACCTAAGCACTATGGGCGTGGAGAATTGGATGGAGGTTGCTCAAGATAGAAAACAGTGGACGCATGTTGTCGAGTCGGCTAAAACCCACGAAGGGTTGTAACGCCACGGAGTAAGTAAGTAAGTAATTTTCCTAGGATTTTTAGGATGAGGAGATATGTTGTGTATTGCAACTTTTAGATTTCTTATTTTCCCTCTTTCCATCTTTTAGCATTGTCAGTTTTGACTTTCAGTTCTTAGAAGGTACAAATTAAAAGCGACAATCTAGATTTTTGTTTCGTCAGTAGAAATCTTCGGATTTCTTCTTTTGTGATTTATTTTATTTTTACTTAAATTATTTTAAAGAATTTCTTTAATTACTGAAAGAAAATAAAGAAGAGTTTTACAAAATAATATTATACTGAAACGATTATAGTTATAAAATAACTTACGTAACTTAAAACATTCCGGTGACATTGGTGTATCTCTGTCAGTTTTTAATTTGTACAAAGTTGCCTTGAACGTATCTGTATATAGCAAAACTTTGGATTCTGGGCACCAATATGGACCTTCTCCATGATGAATTGGTGTAGTTAATTTCGTTATCTTTAGTTCACTTAAAAAAAATAAACGTACACAACTTTAATATTTAGGTACATACATATATTTTGACTTGAATTCATAACGTGACAAAGTGGGATAAAAATGTAATAAAGAATTGTTAACATATCTATATTTCCTAGAAACTTCTAAACATCAAGACAGCGTGGGCTACTTTTCTCTAAAAAAGTAATAAACTATTTTACCAGGTTTAAGCTTACCACTTACATTTACCTATATATCTAATAAACTACCACTGTTTAAAATATAGCCTCATTTTTTTACAGCTTTATAGCAGTACACAGTATATCAATAGTTTGCCCTAAAAAGGGTTAAAAAACATATCTGTGAGTAATTAGTTGCGAATGTTGTGTTCAATGTGGTCAGCCCAGATTTATCAGCAAAATAACCACTTTTAGTAAAGGCCCGTATTCCGTATACCAATATGGGCAGGTGTGCAGGGTCGGACTTACTCTTTACATAACATTTATCGAAATGAATTCAAACATGGAATCTCACAACAGTTCCGCAATTCAAAACCATCAAAGTCAAATAAACTTGAGTTTCCAGCTGTTCTCCGTGCGTAGAGGTTTTCTCCCCGGCTCTGGAACTCAATTTTTGCAATGTATGTTACCTGAAGTCATATTTAATTTATTACTGAACATCACAGTTTTTTAACAACAAGATGTACAATCTTTTATAACTATATGTAATTTAAAGGGTTTTTACCTATGTATTTTTGGTGGCTCAGGCATTTTAACCTAGCGATTTTAAACCTGATGATGGACTGTTCAGTCCGAAAACGTTTGTTTTTTTTTATGTAGCCATTTTAAGGGTTTTTAAATAAATATACCCACTTCCGAAGACAAACCTCTTTTTTTTAAATAAACTTATCACAAACATATTCTTCGGCAGCGTTGAAACTACAATTTCCTTCCAAAGAACCGGCAATTATTTTTAGTACCTTAGAAAACACCAAATTACAAGGCTACCTTCTCCCGCTTGGAAATATTATTAAACCAAAAATACAATATTCTCTTCTAGATTATGTGATAATCGTATATGTATGTATTTATTCAATAAACAAATGGTGGATGATGTTATAAATAATCATGGCCAAATAGTAATACAAGGTAAAAACTTGTACTCTCCAACATCTGATCTATAATACCACACGACTTGTTAATCAACGTGTTACAAAAAATCGGCATAATTCCTGTCTCCCCATGACATTCCTAAAAATAAGTGCTACTATGCCGGAGTACAATTACATTCTTAGTTTTTGATTACAAATATATATATATATATATATATATATATATATATATATATATATATATATATATATATATATATATATATATATATATATATCAGCCCTTACAGTCCAAGGACTCAGGACAGACAATAGACTCTTGTTTTTGACAACACGCCATATGTATTATTTATATTTCAAGACAGTTTAGTTTGCTATAACTGCAAGAACACGAAAGTGCTCCGAAACACTAGCTTAATTAACCCATAGACAAAGCAACCAAACATCTTTATACAGCGCAACAAATATATCTTTGCAAAAACCTAATGGCGCAAACCCTTCTTAATGAGAACACATGCCCTAATTTCTAATGACCCAGAGATACGAACAAACTAGATGCATTAAATAAGCAGCCACATAATTAATCAACCAAAACGTAGCTTCGATGAAATAATTTCACCTGAAGCAAATCTATCTTCAAAACAATGTAATATTTTTCCAACACCTAAAGTCCAAGCAAAAAATAAAAAACTAAAATAAGTCCAGCAAGTACTTCTGAATGCTTATTATCTCTCTTATCTGAACCTGCTAAACTTCATAACAACATTGTATTGCAATATTTTTCGATCTGAAAAGGGGCATTTAATACTTGTTGGAAATTCAATATTCTGAAAGAACTACATTCATGGGATATTCGTGGCAATTGTCTAAAATGTAATAAAAACTTTTTACAAAACCTGTCTTTTTGTGTGAGAGTACATAATATTTACTCATAGGAAAAAAGTGAAGACAATCGAACACCCTAAGGATCAGTCCTAAGTCCTACATTATTCTTAGGGGCAATAAATAATATTATTAACAACCTTACTAAACCTCTAAAGGCTCGACTGTTTGCAGATGACCTTGTTATCTTTATAAAAGGAAACAACACCACATTAACGAAACTTTGCAGATTTTCTAAACCAATTAGAACAATGGTCTCTGACGTCCAGATTCAAATTTTCAGTAACAAAAACATCAGGAACACTTTTCTCCAAGAAGGTTTCCTCAACACCCCCTACCTTAAAATTATATAATACCATCTTCTCATTTAAACCAACGGTAAAGTTTTAAGGTATTTGGTTTGACCAACATTTTACTTGGTAGGAACATACTAAACAAACAGTTTTAACATGTCACAAAAGACTGAATCTTATGAACACCTTGGCAAACCGAAACTGGGGATCAAATCAGGAAACTCTATTAAGAATTTTACATTAGAATTGTACTTGAAGCCTTCCGGACAACTTCCCCCGAAAGCATACTGAGGGAAGCCGGCGAACCACCTCTAAACGACCAAAAAATATACTTAGCTCTAACACGTGTCACATATATAGCCTCAAATATAAACAAACCTCTCTTCTGCAATACTTTTAATAACAAATATATCAGTAATATCAATTTGTGGTAACCCCAAATGAGCCTTTTTAATTTAAACTTCCTCTAAACTCCAGCATCTATACTGCAGAACTATTTGATTTGTTTAAAGCCATTAAACATGTAAATATTAAAAACATCCCTTGTTGTCTGGTCAGAAGAATTCACTTCCTGTAGATACCAACTCATATCGGTATAGAAGGGAATGAACAAGCAGATACTAGTGCGCGTAACGCTATCACCAATGAGGCATCAGAAACAGAAAGATCTAAAAGTGTATTTCAAAAATAAGTGGTAAATGCGTAAAATCGGGAGTGTAATGATTCTAGTTCTACACTCAGAATAATCAAAAGTGAAATTTCTTCATGGAAGTCGTCTGCCAAAAGTAGAAGATCTCAAATTATTATCACAAGACTACCACTTGGACACTGTAGGTATACTCACGCCTGTCGCTTCTCCAATAGCGAATCTCCAAAATGCGAAATATGCAATACACTGGACAGTATAAAGCACATCTTGATAGACTGACATAAATATATCAAATACATTCTTACAATTTTTCAAAATAAAATGAAAGCATTACTTGACAAAAATTTTCTTCCGGACAATTTATTAGGTTACTTAAAATGTATAAACATATTACACAAAATTTAACATAATTATTTGTTACAAATGTTTAATTGTTTATAAATTGTAACTAATTGTTACAATGATTAATTGTTACAAATGATTAATTTAATATTGTTACAAATGCTACAGAAATGTCGCAATATAGCCTGTATGTTTGTTACATTACAAGATTAAGATGTGAAGGTTACAGCTACCCATTTCTTTTTTGGTCTCCTGTAAAAACATTTACAACGAATTTATCAAAAAAGTTGATCACCTTGGACACAACCTATCAGTCTACGTGACAGTTATAAAATTAACATAGTGTAACATTCATATCTGGGTGAACAAAGAATTCAACATGTAAAACGGACATTTTTTTTCACATCTAATATGAATATTTGAAATTAATCTAGAAACTCGATTAAAACTTATCAGCAGTGAAAACAGCTTTATGTAATTGTGAGTAATAGTGTAAATATTAATTTGCTCTAGCCATTTTTAAGTAAGCTGTATGTTTCCGCATATTAAAAAAAGTTTTCAAAGTCCGCTAAATTAAAATCAACCCTTTCACCGGGATTTTAACCATTTGCTAATAATTATCATACAGGTCGGGTGACAGCTTGTAGACTAACTGTCATAACATAATAGAACATTATGGAAGACCTACTAAGCGAGAAAGAAGCAAAATATTTTTATATTTATAAATGTTAATTATGTACATTATATAATTTCTAAAAATAACTTTACTTACTTCATTTTAACTACAGTTGATCGTATTCATGCACTAACCGAAAAAATAAATCACGAGCACGCGCCTTTGTCTTTATACAGGATGTTTTACTACTTAATAATGTTACAATCTTGTCATAAAAAATATCAGTTAATACACACATGATATTTTACGTTTTGTAACAACTCGTAAAGACATGCAGTTTTATGGGTTTTCTAATTTCCGCTGAATTAGATAATAACCGTATTATACAGATTTTAATGACGACCATGAACTGTTACGATTAAATAATGCATCTGATAAACCGTTGAACGTGTGGTCGTCACGTTTGCTCAGTGGAAAAACCAACGAAATTAATGATTTTTATCATATTGAATAATAAAAAAAGCACACAGATATATAATTTTAGTGTACTCATATTAGCAATAATAAAGTTTAATATTGTAATTTACTCTAATATACTGTATTCGTGGTGTATAGGACGTGATATAGTACTTTTTCTTAGGAATCGCGGCTTACATTTATAAATGCAATGCAGGTGCTGAGTAAACGTAACGTCCTGGCACTACGCTGGTCGATCACTAATTATGTTTATCTCCGTGTGGTCGTCGTGTGCGCCCCGACATCTGGAATTGGTCCCAATCGATATTGGAGTTCTCGGGGGGTCTGGGGAAAGGTTTTGTACATAGCTTAACATAATAGCAACATAAGTGGTGTAGGAAAAATAATGTGAGTATAAATTTGGGATCTGAATACTGAACGTGGAGAAACGTTCTTCATGGGTTCACAGTTGGAAAAGAAAAAAATCATTATAGAACGACAAAATGCAAAGACCGGAACTAACTCAACGAGGACTATCATTTCTTAATATTTCTGGTTAATGATCAACATAATAGGTCAAAACTGTCTACTCATTTGTCTTAACACGTTAAGTGCCACGTGGTATAATACGTGTGCCACACCCAATTTTGTTGTTCGGACCGCGTGGCACATATCGATGGCTGAAAGTAACAGTGAGATATCATGTTAAATTGAAAATTACCAGATAATAAAGATTAAAGTTTGTATGTGTTTAAAAATCAGAAATAGGTGACTAAAAGCTTATTTTTATTGGATACTAGTCTTCTAATATTCGAGCATAAGCTTTAATGCTAATTTTTTAACAATTTTATCTGTAACACAGAAAAAACAGGTTTTTGTAAAATATCCCACTGTTGCATTAACAAAAGTAGTCTGAGTTGCGCTAATATTCACAATGTCTCATTTTTATAGGGACTAGTATAAAGTACGCAAAATGTTATTTAGAAAAGACGTTTAATTTTTATAACTTAAAATAAAAAAAAAACTTAATTTCTAACACAAACTACTTATTCAAATACTTATTTCAAATTCCCAAAAAAAAGGTGATGTAGTTCTGGCATTCCTCTGGATCTGTATAATTCTAACAAATAATTTTTTTTATTTTCAGGGATTGAAGGAGAGGCAGCGTAGGCTGGTTGAAAGTTTAAATTCTCGCAATTATTTCTGCGACCAATAATTCAGTAAATTTGTACTGTAAAGTGATACTAGTAGGAAAGTTTTGGGAAAGTTCTCATTTTTTCATTCCATATGTATTTTGGGGTGCTAAATCTGAATCTGAGGTTTGCGGACAAAATTTCGTTACGCAATATTTAAAAAACCAGAAGAAATCGGTTTTTTTTTTGCTTTTTTTCAGTTTTTTGCTGAAAACTCGAAAACTTTTAACTTTTAGTAAATGGTCTGTTTACAGAAATTAAAGTACTTAAAGTTCTGTAAAAATAAAGACCGAGTCACACGGATAATTCACGTTTTGACTCAGTTAAACTCAGTTAAAAAGCAGTTAACGCCGCTTTACATTCCGAACGGCAACAATGTGCTAAACTGTTGTAGACGTTGTATCATATTTTGGATCATATTTTATTCCTGCATGCGATGAGTGGTTGTGATACTACTTCTGCATTGTATAATCAAGGGAAACTGCAATTTCTTAAAGTCATGCAGAAGAACAAAGATTTACAATTGGTAATTAAAGCTTTCAAAGATCCTAATTCAAATCAAGATGAGATTGCCACAGCAGGAAACATGTTTCTCACGGCTACGTATGGAAAAAAAGAGACAAAACTAAACAATTGAAGATATAAACAAGACGTATCTTCATCATTCAAAAATAAGACCAACATTTCCTCATTGCCCCCAACTGAAGCTGCTGCACGAGAACATTCACTGAGAGTTTACTATCAGGTGCAGCAGTGGTTATCCGGTCAAGCCACAACTAACGAGCAACAAAAAGACCCAAGTGAGTGGGGATGGCAAAAAACTAGGAGTGGTCTTGTGCCAGTACCAACTACTTTGGACCCTGCACCAAACTCAATACTCCGGTACATTTCATGTAAATGTAAAAAGGACTGTCAACGCAATTGTTGATGCAGGAAGGTGGGACTCCATTGTTCCCCAATATGCGCATCATGCGAAGCACTGTGTAATAATGTTGAGTCCCCAGAAGACAGCTCTGACATAGACGTAGAAGAAACTGAAGAAAGAGAGAGAGGTATGTTGGATCTGACAAGTTATTTTGTAGTCATTTATCTCTCCTTGATATATGATATGCGTCTCTCCTCTTTTTATTTTCCAGGAGAACTACTCCCGACGCTGACGATGGAGCAATCAGACCCTGAGCCAGGACCCGATGCCATCGAAGAACCTCAGTACGATGCGAAAGGTATGTTTAATCTCACAATCTATTTTGCAATCTTCATCTCCTCTTGATAAATGACTTAACTTTAAACTTTTATTTTCCAGAACAAGCAGAACCGGGACGTATGGTTATCGAAGAACCTCAGCCAGGACCTTTGAAAAGACAACGGCTAATATAAATTTTGCATATTATAATTTATAATAATATTAATATATGATCATAAGTAACGAGATTTTAAGTTTTATTTTGTTACGAGTTCTACCTACCTACTGAATTTGCATAATTTTTGCCTTTTTTCTTTTTAATTACTTGTGTGGAAAACCAGGTGACATTTATCAAATGACAGCATCCATAAAAATTAAATATTAAAATGTAAAAAGTGGATTTTGCATAAACTGCTAAAAATTTTCAATTTTCAACTCGCACTAGAAACCGAACGATTCGTCTGAAAAAAAAACTAAATACTGGTATTTGTAGAAAATTTCAAGTACTTTTATTTCTGTAAAACCCGAAAAAAGAAAAAAAAACCGGTTTATTCTGTTTTTTGTTATTTTGCGTCACGAAATTTTGTCCGCAAACCCCAGATTCGGATTAAGCAACCCAAAGAACATATGGAATGAAAAAATCCGAATTACCCCAAAACTCTCCTAGCAAAAATACAATTTAACTGAACTACAAGCATTTTGTATTTTACATCGATGTGTTTTTCAAAGTATTGGTCAGAAAAGCTTGATTTGTAAAAAATGTTGTAGGGGTTCTCTGCAGTTATTTTTAAAGCTTTAATGTTGTTCCACACACATTTTGATCCTGTATTATTAACATTAAAGTTTTTGCCAATACTTGCTGATAGCAGTTTCCAGTCTAAGAAGTCTCTTGTTTCTAGTTCAGTAACATTGTATGATGAACCTGTTTTCTTGGCTAACTTTATTACAGACACCAACTCCGTGGGAACATACATGGGACCTTATTTTAGTAGTTTTGTCTTCTCTCTTTCAATCCAGGCATGCATCGAGTCCCGTTCATTTTGTGTATGGCATGTAATTAAGTAATTATGTGTAATGCTTTTCACCTGCAATGTACACAACTTATTCTGAGCAGTGCAGTTATCACTCCAAAAAATGACCTTTTTTCCTAGGCAATGATGTTTTAAATATTTATATAAATATGTAGAAATTTCTATTGTCCCTCTCTTGCCCACACCCTCGTGCCAAAAGAAGCAATGACCCAGATGTGTTAAAGCATCAAAAATGGTAAAGTTGTATACATTTAATTTTGATTCATAAAAAAGGCAGATATATTTCCACAAGGAAGCTGGAACACCCCATCTAAATCAAAAATAGCTACAATTTTATTGACTTGTATAGTTTTGTCTCGGTTTTTTTCTGCCTAGCCAAAGCATTATCTGGTTTATGACATTCACATTCTTCTTTCTTCAATGAACGTTGCTGCTCATCCATATTTTTATACTGTGTACAAAAATTACATAAATCTTTTTTTAAAGAAACTTAAAAATTAAATTGTGTATTAAAAACTTTAGTATATATTCTTCTTCTTCTGGTTCCTATCCGTTTCGGATGTTGGAAATCATATTGGCAATCATAACCCTGCTCGCTGCGGCTCGAAACAGCTCCGTTGAGGTTTTCTTAAACCATGTTCTTAAATTCCGCAGCCATGATATTCTCCTTCTACCGAGTCCTCGCTTACCTTTGACTTTACCTTGCAATATAGACTGTAGCAGGGAGTAACGGTGCTGATTTCTCATAACGTGTACCAGATATTGCAATTTTATGCGTTTGATCGTAAACACAATCTCTGGTTCCTTCTTCATTTTTCCTAGAACTTCCTTGTTCGTGATCCTTGCTGTCCATGATATTCTCAACATCCTTCTATAAAGCCACATTTCAAATGCTTCAAGTTTTTTAATAGTGATGTCTGTAAGCGTCCATGTCTCCGCCCCGTACAACAACACAGAGAAAACATAGCATCTCAAATGTCTCATTTTTGTATCAAGGGATATGTTGTGACTTTTGAAGATGGCGCTCATTTTGTTAAAGACCGTTATTGCTTTTCTTATGCGGCACTTTATTTCCTGTAAATTGCTCCACTGTTCGTTAATAATAGTTCCCAGGTAACAATACTGTTTTACTCGCTCTATCTGCGTCCCATTAATGTATAGATGAGCCCCGTTTATATTCTCCTTGCTGATAATCATTTGTTTCGTTTTGTGGGTATTAATGTTTAGTCCGGACTGTTGACTGTACTCGTTTATTCTGTCCATTAGCCTCTGAAGTCCCTCTAAACTATCTGCTATCACCATGATGTCGTCGGCATATCTAACATTGTTTACTCTTTCACCATTTAGAAGGATGCCTTCGTCTATTCCGTAAAGAGCCTCGTTAAAAATTTTCTCTGAGTACATATTAAATATCAACGGCGCGCGGCGATAGGATACATCCCTGTCTAACTCCACGTAGTATTTTTATGTGATCTGTTTCTTCTCCGTTAATTTTCATGTATGCGGTCTGATTCCAGTATAGTTCTGAAATTATTCTGAGGTCTTTGTCATCCAGGTCTGCCTCTTTTAAAATGTTTATCATCTTTTAATGTTGAACTCTGTCAAATACCTTTTCATAGTCGATCAAGCACGCGTATACGTCGCAGTTAACGTCCCTGCATCTTTGAATCAGTACCTGTACTCCGAAAAGTGCCTCTCTGGTACCCACTGCGTTAATAAAGCCGAACTGTCTGTCCGATATTTGTTCCTCGCACTTCTTATAAATTCTTCCATGGATGACTCTAAGAAACAGTTTCAACATATGGCTCATTAGGCTGATTGTTCGATATTCTTTGCACGTTCTAGTCCCCTGTTTTTTAGG